TTGATTTTAAACATAAGCAGCAATCACTCGCCGTGTCATCCGTGACGCTAAACGCACTTGCTGGCGAGATTGTCTCCACCATCACCTCTGCTTCCTCTATGAGTGCAGTCTGGAAAAAAAGTACGAAACTGATTGGTAAATATTCTCCTGACCCGGCTCCTGTTCTGCGGGTTGCCGGTGTTGAATAGAAAAACCCACTAGATGTTGCCAATGAAATTGGCATCATCTGGTCCGTATTTCTCAGGGACTCCATCTATCCCCTCATTCTTTCCTCAAAGTCTGCCAGAGAGTTAGCACCCTTGGACTTTTCTTCTCTCAGAGAAGAACAGTATAATGTGCCTTTTACACTTCAAGAACTGGAGGCAACACTCTCAGCTTGCCGATCATCGGCAGCTGGGCCGATGACATTCATATCATATGCTACAACATTTACATCAGTCAGCCCTTGCAGTCTATTATCCTTTAAAAATCTTATTTGGTCACAAGGAGTTTTTCCCCAGCTGTGGAAATCCGCCATTGTTTTTCCCTTTCCGCAAACCAGGCACTACGGGACATGAAACCTCCCACTATCATCCCATTTCTCTTACCAGTGCAGTTTGCAAAGTAATGGAACGCCTAGTAAAAAGACGTTTAGTGTGGTATTTAGAGACACGACAGTCTCTCCACTCATCAATATGGCTTTCCCTAAGGGACGTTCTACCATAGACCCCTTACTACGCTTGGATACGTATGTTCATAATGCCTTTGCGAAAACCACTCAGTTATTCCCATATTTTTTGACCTTGAGAATGCATATGACACAACTTGGGGGTATAATATTTTAGCCCAAGCCCACTCCTTAGGCCTTCGAGCAATCTCCCACCCTTTCCCTTTAAGAACTTTTAACTGACAGGCATTTCCGTGTTCGGGTTAATAATGTGCTCTCCCCGATTTTATCCAAGCTAAAGGGTGTCCCCCAGGGATGTGTTCTGAGCACAACACTTTTTCTCCTTGCTTTTAATGATTTGGCCTCTAGTCTTCCATCAAATATTTGGTCTTTCACTCATGTTGATGACTTCGCTATTGCCTGTGCAGGCGTTTGACTGTCACCTCATTACAGTTTCTCTCCAACATCAGTCGACCGTGTTTCCAATTGGGCCACCACACGTGGGTTTAAATTTTCCAGCACTAAAACCCACCAAATTACTTTCACTAGACGCTCTGGGCATCTCCGATCATCCTTTGTACCTCTATGGGTCCGTATCCCTGAACGTGATAGTCAAGTTTCTGGCCTCCTCTTTGATCGTAGGTTATCCTGGGGAAAACCCCACATTACCCCTCTGAAGGCAACTTGTCCCCAGCCCGCTGAACCTTCTAAAACCCTTGCTCATCTTTCATGGGGAGCTGATCGCGAACCCTCCTCCGCCTACATTCCCCCCTTATTTTATCGAAACTTGATTATGGTGACCAGATCTATTCAGCGATCTCCTGCTACTTTCTCTAGCCTTAACCCCATTCATCACCAAGTATTACGTTTATGCCTTGGTGCTTTCGCTCTTCCCCTGTCGAGAGCCTCTATACAGAAGCGAACTTTTCCATCCTTATCCGATCGCCGTGATGCCCATTGCCTGCGCTACTATGTACGCTCTCATGATCTCCGCAATCCTTCCATTTATAGAATGGTCACTGATATTTATAGACATTCTTTATTTTTTTCGCCGCCCCTGTTTACTCCGTCCCTTCTCTCTCGCCTCATTCGCTCTTTCCTTCTCTCAACTACCACCTTTCTATGTACATGTAGCATCTCACTTTCCCTACCCCCTGGGAATTTCCCAGCTGTTAGTCTGTTCTTTTCCCCCCTTGCTCGAAAGCCCAACTGTCTACGGTCGCTTCCCGCTCTCTTTTTCTTGACCACTTTCACTCTCATTCTCATGCCATTGCCGTGTACACAGATGGCTCTAAGTCTTCTGACGGCGAAGGATTCGCAGCAGTGTTTCCGGACAGCATCGTACGAAGGCTTTTACTATCTTCGGCTAATATTTTTACTGAACATTAAAATGGTAAAAAATACCGACAGGTTGTTAGGTGAGACACATATGCAACAGTTAGGTATCTTTATTTCGAAACGTTTCGCCTACACAGTAGGCTTCTTCAGTCAAGAAACAGAAAAGTTGATAGAAGCAGAAGATACGTACTTGAAGACGATGTAATCATCCATCAGTCCTCAAAACTTTAAGGGTGATGGACTGATTACATCGTCTTCAAGTATCTTCTGCTTCTATCAACTTTTCTGTACTCGACTGAAGAAGCCTACTGTGTAGGCGAAATGTTTCGAATAAAGATACCTAACTGTTGCATATGTGTCTTACCTAACAGTATTTTTACTGCTGAATTGTATGCCATCCTTACAGTACTTATCCGTATTGCATCTATGCCTGTGTCATCATTTGTGGTTGTCTCAGACTCCCTTAGTGCTTTACAGGCTATACAAAAATTTGATACACCTCACCCCTTAGTCCTCCGTATCCAACTTTGGGTTCGCCGCATCTTTACCAAGCATAAAGATATTGTTTTTGGTTGGGTCCCTGGTCATGTTGACGTACAGGGCAATGAACAGGCAGACACTGCTGCGCGGTCAGCAGTACATGACCTACCAGTTTCTTATAGAGGTATTCCATTTATGGACTATTTTGCTGCAATATCAATATCCACCTTCACACCCGTTGGCAACAACGTTGGTCTACTATGCTCGGCAACAAACTTCAATCTATTAAACCGAGTATAGGTTACTGGCCGTCTTCTTATCACCCGTGTCGAGGTTGGGAGGAACTACTCTCTCCCGTCTTCGCATTGGCCATACTCGTCTTAACTCATGGATATCTCATGGAAGGAGTCCTGCTCCTCTCTGTGAGAATTGCCAAGCTCCATTAACAGTCAGCCACATTCTGTTGGACTGCCCACTTTATCAACGAGCACGCAGAATTTACCTCAGCGTCGTCTTCGCTCCGCTACTCTATCTTTACCTTCCCTTCTCGCTGATGGACCCACCTTTTCATCCGGACTCTCTCATGACTTTTTGACAACACTGAACTTCACAAATTCTGATACTTCTGCACTTTCTACTTCATCTCTAGCTTTCCTCTACCACCGATTACTATCCCCTGCCCGTGTTTTCTGTAACTGATGATCAATCCCTCCTACATTCTGCCATCAATTCCCTCGCTTCCTTCCCTTCCCTGCAGCGCTGTTATAGCCCTTGTGGCTTAGCGATTTTTTTTGATATAAATAAATTTAAAAAAAAATAATAATGAAGATGCTGAAACAAGAATGGAATTCTTATTTCTACATTAATGCTTAATGAAGAATAATTGGATGTATAGAAAGACACACTATATTAGGAATGATTATTAGTGTGGTTCCAGACTAACAATTTCTCCACTACTCAAATTTTCAATTTAATCATTTCCAAAATTCCTACTTACTACTTTAGCTTTTACATATTCAGGGACACTTGCCAGAACTCACAAATATGTTCTTTGTGTTGATCTCTAGACATGCAACGGTTTTACTAAGAATTTATAGACACTTCAGCAAGTACTGTAGATTAAAGATCCTTCAATTCCTGCAGGGTTGGCCTTATGGTAACTGGCTTAGAGTGCTGGCAGCATCAGTGTTCATATTAGAGGGATAAAAAACTTCACGAAAAATAAGTTGGTATTTATCATGATGGTATTACAGTTTACATTTAAATGACAATTGGACTTTTAACTGTCCTCCTTTCTTCATGCTGGATGATGAGAAACTTTTGTGCTTGCATGTTGGGTTTGGAACACACTAGGGGCACCACAGTTTTACTGGTGTGATTGGTGGGTTGGAGACTATTCTGAGTAGACCATCTAGTAAATCTGCTGGATTTGGTTAGTTTGACTATAACGTAATTGTACAAGAAATCATAAATGACAGTGTGCCCTCATTTCAGTGCCACAACTTTCTTTTTTGTCCATCTTCTTAAGAACATAAGAAAGAATGAACACTGCAACAGGCCTACTGGCCTGTGTGAGGCAGGTCTAATTCTCCCACTGGCTTAAGCCAATGCCTTGACCTAGTCAGGTCAGTCACGTCACTTAAGGGAGGAGCACGGCATCCAACCTAGTAGCACAAGCTAGTCAGGTCCAACTCACACCCACCCACACCCACTCGTGTATTTTTCCAACCTATTTTTAAAACTACACAACGTCTTAGCTTCTATGATGGTACTCGAGAGTTTGTTCCACTCATCCACAACTCCATTACCAAACCAGTGCTTTCTTATATCCTTCCTGAATGAATTTTTCCAATTTAAAATGATTGCTGCAAATCCTGTCTGTTAGATATTTTTAGCACGCTATTTAACATCCCCTTTATTAATTCCTGTTTTCCACTTTATACACCTCGATCATATCCCCCCTAGAGAGTGCAGATTCAGGGCCCCTCAGTCTATCCTCATGGGGAAGATTTCAGATACATGGGATCAACTTTGTCATCCTCCTTTGTACATTTTCCAGTGCATTTATATCCATTCTGTAATATGGTGACTGTGCTTGAAGAAGAAGAAGTTTTATATCTGTAAAACACCAGATACAAAAAGATTAAAGGGTTAATTAAGTACATCTGCTGTGAAGAAAATTAATATTCAGTACTGATAGTTCAGCCACAAAATTACACTGTTATACTCTCTCGTAATATACCTTCCTGTATCAGTCTTCTGAAATTATGATATATGACTGTTGTACTGTAGTACAGTATGTCATTGCTGTACCATGCATTTAATTTACAACTACTGTTAAAAATTAATCATATTTACCACTTTTTTTTTATATAGATTGTTAGCATTATGTTGTATTTTTGTGTATAGTACTTCTATTGTTTCTTTACAGATTGCAGTAACCAGAACATAAGTCTCAAGTCCTAGTGAAGTATTACCAATTATTAAAGCTTGTTTCATGTAAATTACTTACCTTCCATAATGTTCTCCTCTTCAGGAAAATATCGTTGGGACATCTGAATGTTCCATTGAGCTTCAAGATGGCAGAGTAATTCTTTTGAAGATGTCGAAAGGGACATACTTGGTACCAAATTCAGCAACAGGAGTTACTCAAGCTGCAAACATCCTTACAGTGCGTGTTCAAATTAGTGAAAGGACTTCACTTATTAGTTCACTCAGTGGTGATATCCTGAGTGATAGCAGTACGAAATTCTTGGATACACTCTTAAATACTTCTTTGTCTGACACATTGGTATCGGCTCATTGTAAGAAGTGTCCAAATTGTGTATTTACCAAAGTAAAGTTTAGGAGAGTGATGCCTCTTCCATCAGTGGACTGGGATCATTCATCTGAGAATTGGTTCTGTCATCTTCATGGAGAACATGGACAGAAACTAAAGCCAGCATCACTTCAGCCTCAACATGATGAATGCTTTTACACAGAATTGTATTTTCTCATGCACAACAGCATGATGGAATGTATTAATTGACAAGTGTGATGATGGCATGCTCATGTGGCTCTGGATTGTGGAACACTCCTGGGTGAGGAATACTGACTGCTGGTTTAGAAAAAATTTGGGCTCTGAATCTTAAGTGGATAACACAGCAATGGGGAAGTCATATATATTGAAATTCTAGAGAGATTTGCTGTCCTTGTTTCACAGTATTGACAAGGATAATTTTGGAAGTAAACTGTCAGTTTAGTACTGGAAGTACAAACAGCTACCAAGAAATAATGTAAATGGTGGACATTGAATACGAACCAAAATTGCTGTTCAAGATGTTTTCAAACTTAACCTCGTGTGAACGGTGGTCCAGAAGCTATTCTGGAAGACAAGGACTCAGTTTAAAGAAAATTTCATGCCATCAAATTACTGTACCTTATAAAGGAAGGTGAGGACAGTCAAACAGGGCAATGGGTGTGACATGGTGTACTTATTGCAATTCCCTGGCGCAAGCTTATTTTACTTGAAGTAAAAACATGTTTAGAGAAAAATTCTACTTATTTCTTACCTGATATGTTAAAGTTATTGAAAAATATGAACAATAACGTTTTGATAGTCTGTAAAATTTTGTCTTTTAATAAACTACAATTGCAGTTACATACATGTATTATAAAAATCTTGTACATGTACCCATATGATGGAAGAAGAGATTTTTGGTTTTCGGCTATTGGGCTTTAGTGTTCTCTAAATGAAGATTGAATAGGCTATGCAAATAGGCAAGATTGTTGTTGGTCCAGTTAATTGGCATCAAAAATGGAGGGGCGAAAAAATGCCCTGAGAGTGGTATTACTAGGTGGAGGAGTATTCAGCTCCGTTGTAGTCTTACCATACTGCCATGTCTGTAATAAAAACAAGCTCGCCACGTTTAGTATTTGTTAGTTAAAAAATGCTGAGCTGTGCTCTACGTGTGATTCCTTCTGCATTAATTTTTTTACAGTATGTATATGTGTAAGTTCAAGTTTCAGTGATGCAGTACATTACATTCTTGCTGCAGTAAATAATCAACTTATATTTAATAATAAAAATAATAATAATGCTTCATAGAACCATCAGTTGGTTTACCATCTGACTGAAGACATTTTTTTGTGTTGTGTATTATGAATATTCATAATATTGTTACATTTGGGGGCACTATTGGGTAGGGAGGCAGTCAGGTTTGATCCAAGGAAAGGGAGGATTACTTGGATCATAAGCCCCTACCAGACATCGAGGGTTTAGGAAAAAGTTCCTGGTCAATTCTTTTACGTATTTTGCCAATCTTTTATTGCATAATCTAAGTTATGCCTGCATTAACGCCATAGACTATTTAGACTTTTTGTTGTAATTTTTGTCAGTGGTAAAGGAGTTTGTATAAAGGTTTCTTACTGAAGGTATTCTATCCTCGTAATGATTTATTTCTGGTAAAGCTCCTGGACCAATTTTTTACTACTTATGAATAATAAGTTTTTTATTTAGGGTTTGGCTTACATAACACAGAAAAAACTTTTACAATGATCTTGAGGGACATGTTTAAAAAGTTCTCATCATATTGGTACATCATTATGTAGCAGTGTTAGTGGTGGATACGTATGTCTATTTTTGCATCCTGGGAGTGTTGGCTTCCATTATTATTTAAATTTGGTATTACCAGCATTGGGTGCTTGCCTACCCTTTTTTTTTTTTTCTGTTATGTTGGGAGCATACTTTTTGGTTACTGATTTTCACAGTTCAGGTACTTAGCTGTGTAATTTTAAGGTAAAATAATAAGATATTTACAGGACCCCATTGGAAATAAAGTGTTTAATTTGGGGGGATTATTCCTAGGTAATTTAAACTCTGACATTTGTAATTTTGTGTATTTTGTGCTTAAATCATACATCAACAAAAGCTAATTTCACCACGTGTTGTTTTCAAACTGTCAAAAAAGTTCCAGACAATAAAAAGAACTAAGATGTGGAACTCCACCACAAGATGGAATAAAAGTTTCCATTGCGGGATGTGGATGACTCCTCATTAACCAGAATTTTTAAAGGGGTGGACCAGTAAGCCAGCGAAAGGCTCTGTAAGATGACAAAAGCTCCAGCTGCAGATCGTCATATGATTAGACCGCAGTCTCAGAAACACTTGTCTGTTTCTTGACAAACCTAGCCTACCTTATTTAATAGCACCATATATACTGTGATCCTATGGGCCTTATGATTATTGTACATACAATGATTTAAAAATAACCTGACTCTTAAGATTCTTGTAGACCTTTTGATCTGTAAGCCAAAAGTTATTGAATTTGAGCTGAAGGGTTCCCTTCATAAATTTAATTAACTTTTGTCTTACAGATTGAAAGTTTTGTGAGTGTTACACCTCTTCAGGGGGGCTCCTTGGCGTGGTTGAAGAGGCTCTTGGTCTGAGGAATTAGCCTGTCGGTCTTCTTCCTCAGACCGAAACCTAATTACCCCATTTCTCCCCTCCCCTATCCCATCCCTCCCTTTTTTCATTCTCCCTCTCCTCTCCTCACCCCTCCCTTTTGCCCTTCCTCTTTTTGGCCTTTGGGATTTCTCCCCACAGGCGCGTAGTTTAGGTAGGGGAAAGGACACCGGGTTCATTTCCATTCGTTGAGGGTTATTGGCGGGGTGGCGTAGTTTGCGTGGATTTGGATTGCCTGGGGATGTTCCCGATCCCTCTCCGGTCTCCCGGAGTAGTTTGGGTGTCTTTCGGGCGACGGGTGTATCTCTGGAAAAGCCAACTTTCAAGATTCCGGGGTGGTGGCCGAAGGGGGTATGCTTCTGTGGAGGATCATCCCGGCCGCTCTCTCTTTTGTCCAACCGAGGTAAGCTCGGGCAGATGTGAGGTTGCTATCCGGATGCTGGTTTACTGGCATGAAGGGTAGGGTATGACACGGGTTCCATTGACTGCATCTGCGCTACTAGCGGTGTTGAGGTCTTTGGGCGCGGAGGGAGATTTTCCGGCCCTTCATTCCTCCTGGGAAATATTCCTCCGATCCCCCCTTGTTTTATTCTTTTTTTTTTATTTTAATTTTCTCTTTCTTCTTTTTTTTTTTCTTAAAAACAAAAAGCAAGGAGTAACCTAACCATGGGCAGCCTAGTCATGAACCCATCTTCCCTCGGGCCCCTTCTTGACTACTGCACCCAAATTCTGACACTGCCTTGTGTTTAGTCCACTCTTCGGGACACTCCTGATGCCTGTACCTCTTGCTGGTGCTGTTTCCTCACCGTTCAGGTACCAGGGCTTAGACTGTCTCCTTCGATTTGTCATGAACTCCACTCTCCTTGACTATGCTTATCCGGCTTCTCCCCTTACGGTATCTGCAATTTTCGAAATCGGCCCGCCCATTTCACGCAGGACAACTCCGGTACTTCTTCTAAAGCCAACGTCAATGCTCCTGTTTGAGGCTCCTTCTTACCTTCCATTCTATCTCGGAAAAGACCGGACACGTCAAGCACTCCCTCTCCCGCTCATTTCGGACACACAATGGGACCTATAATTCTTTACTTTAAGACCGACATCTTCTGCTACCTTTCTGACATAGTGTATTGGCAAAGCGCTCCTGCACATTCTGTTGGCAGAGATATTTCATTCATGCTCTCAAGAGCGGTACTCCCATCGTCACTGTCAAAAATGCTACCAAGTCATGATCTAGTCTCTCTCCTTTCGAATATCGATTCTACTCCTATCACTATGAAAAACATTCTTTCTCTTCAATTCTAGTAGTGGTACTGTCATTCTGCCCCATTACATAGTCCAAACAGTATTTCCAGTCATGTGGGCCAATGGGACATTTTTGAAACAGCTGGAGCTCCAGGATCTCGCCTATACTCAAGTGGACACTTAGGTACTTCTGGCCCGGGGGCGCGAGACGTTACCCTTTGCAATGTGGCTTGTTTAACTTTTGACAGTCGAGAACTCCAGTCCTCTGTTTATGTCGCGGGACATCGGTTACAAGTTCGAAAGGTACGGCTACCCACAACAATGTGAAAATTAGACTGGCGTTTTGGTCACCCAGCGAAATATTGCAGATCTATGGCCCGACATTGCCACAGTCTGTGGTGCCGACGACCTTTCTAATACATCTTGCAGTCTAAACCTCCATCTTGCCTTAATTGTATGAAGATCACCCTTCGTATCCTGCGTTGCCAGTCTACTTAAATGAACGTGGAAATCCGTTGCCTCAAGAGGCAGAAAGGTCATCCTTATGCTTTGGCAGGTTATCATCTCCGCCTCCAAGGGAGACTACCCCGTGTTTCTTATTCTCGTGTTTCCATACATTCCCCCTACTTCTGGGGTCCCATCTTCTGCAGTCCCCTCTGTTGTACCCCTCCCATAGCCTCTACGGCTCTAATCCTTTGCTGCCCTTGGCTCTGAATCGGTTCCCGACTACAAACTCAGTCTGTTCTCACGACATCTTCGCGTCCTTTCTTCACAAGCCCCAGTATCGACAAGACCTCGTTACGGTACTAATACCAATCGCCCCTCTACTCAGAAGTCCATAAAAATCCTCATTGCTAAATCATTCGTTCGGCCCTCTCCTTCCCTTCTTCCACCTCCCACACTTTACCTTTCAGTATCTGTACCTAGTTCTTCCCCTCTCTCTGGCTCCTATTACAAAGTGGGTGGAGATCACCCTACCTCTGTACTATGCCTTCCACCCCCGTCCCTCCCAAGTTTCTCCCTCTTCTACCACCTACCAGGTTTCTGCCTCTTCTGTCCCCCCACACTCATCTCCAGTCCTTACCTAATTCCCTCCCTCTACTTTGGTACAGTCATTACTGTCCCAATCTTTACTCACCCCTCCTCCTTCTATCTCCAATTGGTCTCCCAAACATCTTTGGAATCAGAAACACTTGAAGCCATTTCAGAATATATTGCAGAGACTAATCCTTCTAATGACACTGATTCATTTCCTGTTACTTCTCTTCCCGCTCCTCCATCTCACAAAACCATTCTTCGCAACGCTCACGTTCCTTCGCTACTTGAACATCTTCAATGCAAC